TCATTTCTTTTCTATACGACTAAACCTTCTAACCGTCATGCAAACAGTTTCTCCCTCCTAAGATGGGTGGTCTGTTACATAACACCTCACATAGTTTACTTTACATTTCTTCTCTTTACTTTTCACCTCTTGCTGTTTGTTTTTGTTTTTGTCATTCTGAAACTTAAACCAACTAGAAACATAATAAGTCTGTGAGTGTTTTCAAAGTATTTGTGTAAATCTATAAAAAAAACTTTTTTTTTTACTTGTGTAGCAGGATTGTGATGTTTTAGCCCACAAGACCTGCTTTCAGATCAAGAGTTGCCTCATGTGAGGGACTGTTCATGGAAACACTATAAATGACATGCACACCACCGGCAGCAAACAACCTGCAGCAATGTACCAGAGTCTTTGAAACAAGCCTGATAAGCATCAGTTCTCTTCAGGAAGTGTACTCTTTAATTCCTCTATGTAGAGGCGCTTTATAAAGTATTTATACCCTTTAAACTGTTCACATTTTTTCAAAACACAACCAACTACACAAACTAAGTTGAAGAAAATGGATCCATGTTGTTTTCTTTATAAATGTGACCTAAAAGTGTGGAGTTAAAGGGGAACGCAGTTTTATTTTTTTTTATTAGGCCGTCAATTTGTTTGTACCAAATATAAATATTAAAAATATAACCATGGATGTCTGGGGGACAGTGATTGGCCTACATGTTATGAATGCTGGCGTACCATAAATGATAAATTATGAACAGTTTAGTTTGTGCCTTCAAGTCGTCGCCCATAGGAAGACGTTACTTGGATATAACCTAACGCAATATCTTCAGATTGGCTCCAAATGACACAAAACTCATATGGGTGAGTAGAACATGATGTAATAACGTAAAATCAAAGGCCCAATGTAAAAACCCGGCGTTCCCCTTTAATTAGTAAAGCAGGTCGCAGCTTCAGTACTACTGCTGAAGGCTGTATGCACAGCTAAAACTCTTTTGAAGTGTGTTCTGGCCAGCTTGGAAGATTGATTGTAGCAATATCACGTTTCACTGCTACAAAAAAACTAGTATTTTCTTTATGTGTCAACATTGAGAAACTTTAAATGAACTACGCTTTAAATTAAATACACCGTTGCCTTTTCTTTTTAAGCTATGATTTTTTGCCCTTTTTGAGGCGACTTTTCAGTAGTGCAAGAATTTTTCGATCGGACCGACTTTCAGCCTGATGGTGTGTCGTGTAGAGAACAGGGGGTAACGAGGGGCGATCAGCCTCTCACGACCACCTGATCAGGAATCGTAAGGTCGCTAGAAAATCAAACATGTTTGTAATTCAGTAGGCCGCAATAAGGTGGTAGTGGGCAAATCGCTCAATGCACAAACAGGGATTCTTTTTCTTCCTCTCAGATGAAAACACAGAAGCATGGCAGGATGCGAGTGAAATGCAGTTCTTTCTGTATAATTGACAGACCGTAGTAGCCACGTTTTCTCAGCCATGTCTTTGTCCAAATACGTCGATGCCTTTTCTTTTTAGGGCTTTCAGCACTAAATTGCACAAACTGTCAAGGCAGCATGTTTCACTCTAGTGAGCTTCATATTCCTCTTCTACTCGTTTGGCTTCCAGATAGACGAGTCCGAGTAGCGCCATCTCACTGCGGAGCTGAGTCCCACGTGGTTTTTAGACGTACAGTGTGACCCGGTAGATCGCATCAGACCGTCGGGCTGCACAGTGTGAGAACAAACATTGTGAGCTGTGAACTTTTAAACCCTGCAGTTTTGTCATACAGTGTGAGCTGTAGCTGTAACGATTGAAAAAAATTGTAAATTTGTATGCCTGGCTTTATATGAGGCCAACTGGGGGTTTTAGAAGACCGACTAAACACACCAAAAAACATGCAATCACTGATTCAGGAGAACTTTGTGTGTTGAAATAAGTTGCTTATCGGAGTGAAATACATCTAAACAAATAAGCTCTGGGCCCAGTTTTCAAGTCTACAGGATGGAAAACATAGTACATAACAGTGGTAGTCCTTTAATTGCTTTGCCTAATGTGGGAGAGACATTAGCTCAAAAAGAAAAAAATATTCAACGGTCTACTATTGTGTGCGAGACAAGAGGGTGCTTTTATTAACAGCCGTCCTTAATCATAAACATATCTCCATAGACCTTCATATGTGGTGTACAAGAGAAGGCTGTTGCTGAATACTTTTTTTTTTCTTTTTAAGCTAATGTCTCTCCCTTGAATTGGGGGCTCGTCCGGGATAACATGATCACTTGATTACACAGACCTAGAGACTGTTCAAACATATAGAGACGTTGCAGAATAAGACATCAAAGCCTGAAACCAAAGAAACTATATAGATGAAGTGTTAGACTCATCTGCTTTCTTTGTTTGATTCTTCCCTCTGGGCTTAACTCTCAGATTGGTTTATGTATCATGAGTTACTCGCCTGATGCATAGAAACCATGCATACATGCTCTCTCACACACCTAACATCCAGTTAGGCCTGCAGCGTTGGACGTTGGAGTTTAGATCTCTCAGAGCAGGAAAGCCCTGAATACAGAGCATGTTGTTGTTATGAATGGATGGAGACAATAAGTCACCCAGAGGGTATTGCAGATGGATGGGAGATCTGCAGAGGGCTGCGGGCTGCTGAGGGTGAGCAGAGGCTACAGACAGATAGATCCTTTGAGCTGGAGTAGTGTAGCATGCCTGGAGGTACTAATAGCTGGCACCGCACCATCCAACCCCAACCCCCCACATCCCGACATGACGGCAGTACATTTGCTGGTGTTCATTCTTTCGTGATTTTCTGAGAGCCATGATTGAACCAGTAGGAGCACATGAAGGCATATCTATTTTTTCCATCAAATGTATTTATGTTTTGTCTTTTATCAAACTTTTAAAGCAGACGTTCAGCTTTTGGATGGTTCAGTAGTTTGCAGTGGATCCCAGAAGTTTGAAATGCTGTTTGAAACCCACCGACCGCAGGGCCTTCCTTAAGATCTTCTTATCCCCTGATTTCACTTATAAGAATTTATAATCAGAACCGATCCTCATCTTCAGGTTCAGCAGGTTTTGTGGAATTTAGAACTATTCCTAAATTCACTGATATTTTAAAACCACAGTTCAGCCAAAGGAAAGGTAAACCGAGGGCATGATGCTTCCACCTCCATGTTTTACTGTGGGTATGGTTTTGCTTTCTCTGATTAGTTTGCTTTTCTTTGATTTTTTTGTGCCATTTCAAATTATTTGAGTTGTTTTTTGTCACTTGTTTGACTTATGCCCCAACAATTGGGGTTACCCTGATATAATGATTTATAATCTATGATATGATGCCAATATTGGAGCTTTGCATTTTAACCGGTAGCGGTACTGACTCGATACAGGCATCCCCAAAGTCGGACCTGAAAGGCCACTGTCCTGCATGTTTTAGAGGTTTCCCTGCTTTAGCGCAGCTAATTCTGATGATTGCATTTGAGCAACAGCCTGTTAATCAGCTATCAATTAAAATTAGCTGTGCTGGAGCAGGGAAACCTCTAAAACCTGCAGGACAGCGGCAATCCACGACCGATTTTGGGGATGCCTGTGATACAATATCAGCATAAATCATACATACCTTTATCAATTATTTCTTAGCGTTGAATGTTGGAAAAGGCTTGATGGAGTAATATTTCTCAAACAGAGAATAGTCAACAATAATAATTAAGAGAACAACTGAACCGTTAATTATTAGCCAATTAGTGACTAAACCTTTAAACAGAAGCAGAGCATTTCTATCAGCTAACTGATATCAGAGATTTTAGATGCAGGATTTTGTGTTATACAATGTTTGTAGTTCAGACATGGGTGGTTCTAGACAGGGGCCAACGGGGGCCAGTGCCCCTGAAGATCATGTCATGGCCCCTGTACTAAAGACATAATACCTAAAGAAGTTGTAATGATGATATGCGCTGGAACAGACATGGTTACTGTTAGGTCCTTTGGATCTATTTCATTTTTTTCTTAAAAAAATCTGTTTCATTAATTATTTAAAAATAATAAGGTGATAGCTTTAGTGGTATTGAGATGGGATAGATTTCATCTGTTAAATGTTTTTCCAAAACAAATATAAAATGCTCTAATTTTTGTAGCTTAATTTATCAGTTTTTTCTTGAGTTCTAATTAAAATGTTATAGAAAATGGTAATTTTAACTTAAATTAAGTCAAACATATGTACAGTTCCTAAATTATGAATGTATCTTGAACTAATAAGATATAGCATTTTAATTAAACCTAATTGAATGGAAAATTCACTTCATGCAGCTTTCTTAATATATTTGAATGCTAAAAAAAAACTCATGCTTTTCTGGGCCCCTAATAAAACACGCTGGCCCCCTCATGGCCCCCTGATACATTTGGTCTAAAACTGCCACTGATTTCCTATAACGAGATCACAGGATATTGTTTTAACCAAACAGTTGGGGTCTCCTGTTGATCCATCAGCATCACTCACTCATTTCACTCTGGTCTTTTCATCAGTTTTTTACATAAATCTCCAGGTTTTGATGGTTTATACCTTTTATAATGCCTTTAAATAACTTTGTGCAATGGGATCATTTGGCTTGTTCACTATTTCTTTTGAATATCCTCTGTTTATTATGACTAGCTGGTAGTGGACCGATTTCTCTGTAGCTTTTGAGTTTTTTGACATTTAACTGGATAAATAAAATGAAGTGATTGAATCAGAAAGCAAGACATTAAAGAATCTCATAGATGACCAAAGGGCACAGTGCTGGTATTTGAGTGGAACATTTCACCTGCTGAATGAACCAGGCCAGCTGACAGCTTTCCTAGGGCCCGGGACACAGCCTGGGACAGCTGACCCCACTGCAAAGCTAGTTTCCTCAAATAGAAAAGTACTGATTCCACCTTGTTTTAGCATTTATTTGTTGTTTAATGTTAGCGTTAAGATTTTTCTCACCGTAGCCCTACAGCCTGAGCAGCAGGTAGCTTGATTGACCTTTTGGACTTCTCCCCTCCAGATGAATCACGTGCAGGAGCGTTTTGGAGAGGACACAAACAAAGAGATCCTGCTCTTGTGCATCGGCATCACTTCCTGCTTGGGGCGGTTTATCTTCGGCAGCGTGGCGGACTTCGTCAAGGGATCCAAGAAAGTGTACCTGCAGGTACGTACGGCTGCGTGACTCCAGAGAGAAGGTCTGACCACTGGAGATGTTTGCTGCTGATTGATCACATGATCACACTGCATTACAGCCGATTACGCCGGTCCTTACAGCTTAGAGGGGTTTTCACTGAATATCTCATACATTTATGAGAATAATATTATAACTGAAGGTAATAAAAACATGATGACTGATATAGAAGATCCTGAATAACTTGTTCTGTTGTAGGTCATTTCTTTCCTCATCATCGGCGTCATGTCCATGATGATCCCCGTGTGCCAGATCTTTGGAGGGCTGATTGCCGTGTGCCTCCTGATGGGGCTGTTTGACGGCTGCTTCATCTGCATCATGGCCCCCATCGCCTTCGAGCTGGTCGGAGCCAAAGATGTTTCTCAGGCCATCGGCTTTCTGCTCGGCCTGATGTCCGTTCCCATGGTTGCAGGTCCTCCAATCGCAGGTAAATACTCTGGCTGGCCGTTCACCGCAAAAAATAAATATAGTTAATTCGAGCAGGTAAATAGGACAATCTAACAATGGAATGAGTAGTTTTGCACTCAAAAAAAAAAAAAAATATATATAATTAAATCAAAGTTTATTTATATAGCACGTTACAACAACATCAGGAATGCTAAAGTGCTTCACAGAAGGATAAAAACATGGCAAAAAAACTAAAATCCGAAGCATAAAACAATGTTTCCTAAATAATAAAAGCCAGTTTTAAAAAATGATTCTTTCATCGGGACTTAAAAAGGTGCAGATCAGTGAGAACCAGCAGACTGAGGTGCGGTAACCACAAAGGAACGATGCCCCGATGCTTATGCCGGGACCTAGGGACGTCCAGAACCATTTGATCAGCAGACCGGAGAGCTCTGCTGGGGCGATGTACCGTTAACATCTCACTCAAATATAACAGAGCGAGACCATGAAGGGCTTTAAAACCAAGTGTCAAAACTTTAAAATCAATCTGAAAACAGACTGGGAGCCAGTGCAGGGAGGGGAGTATGGGAGGGATGAACCAGAGAGGAGACCAGCTGCAGCATTCTGCACTAACTGTAACCGTTGGAGTGACGGCTGCTGGAGGCCAGAGTAGTTGCAATAGTCCAACTGAGAACTAATAAATGCATGAATAGCCTTCTCCAGGTCTTGGCTTGAGAGAAAGACGTGATCAAAAGACGCAGCTGGAAAAAGCTAGCTTTGACAAAAGCATTTATTTGTTATATGAAGTTCAGTTCACGGTGGAAGTCAACTCCCAGGTTCCTGAAGGCATTGCTGACTGAACCCCCGACGCTGGACTGAATCTGAGGGACATCCTTGGAACCGCGAAACCAACAAATGATATAATCCACATGAAATTATATATATTTCAACTGTAAATCATCATCATTATCATTGCTAAATTGGGATACCTCACTGCCCTAATCAAACTGATTGTGTTTAAAGTGAGAGTTCCCCTGCTGATGTGCAGCTCTGACATCTTTGCCTCCTTCCTCTGTGAATAGATTCCTTCTTTCCTCTAAGTTACTACGCTGCTTAGAGAGAACAGGAATCCTTTTATTTTCTGGTTTGTTGCTCCATCTACTGTCTGCATTCCTCCTCGGTCAAGTCTGTAGGCCATGAGGAAGAAAGATAAGGACAACTGGAAGAAAGTTAAACTCAATCAACAGAGAAACATAAAAAAACACTATATGAAAAAAATATCAAATTCAAATAATATATAAAAATAGTAAAATATCTACTTTTAAAAGTCACTTTTAAAACCTTGTATTATTTAAGGAGTTTTTCAAAGTTTCATTTCTGGATTGCGTCTATTTTTAAATTTACATTTTCTAAACTTGAATAATTGAATAAAATTCACTTCATAAAGATGCAGTTTTTGAGGCTTCAGCCTCATTTAGTCATGAATGCCTCATGAAAAAAAAATCCTTTTTCCTTTAGTGACTCAGGAAGTAAAAGTAAATAACCCCATTTTGCATAAACTTGAGAAGAAATGGACAATAGTTCAGAATATAAAAAATTCAATTCAGTTTATTTCTATAGCGCAAATTCATAACACAAGTAATCTTAAGGCACTTTCCAGTTCAAACAGATCATCCAGTCAGATTTATTCAAAGTTCTCTATCTAAGGAAAACCAGTTGATTGCATCGACTCATTGACTCTTCAGCAATCCCTCACACTAAGCATGCTTGTAGCGATAGTGGAGAGGAAAAACTCCCTTTTAACAGGAAGAAACCTCCAGCAGAACCAGGCTCAGTGTGAGCGGCCATCTGCTGAGGCTGACTGGGGTTCAAGGACTCAAACACCCCTTATTCATTAACAGTGATATGACTTTCTGATGTTTCAACATACACTACAGGCTAAGATCACTGACTGAAGCTCCCAGTATTACGTAGTTTTATGTGTTCTATTTTTTGAAAGCAAATATTCCTAAAATGTTATAATCGAGGAGTTTTTTAAATACCTGTGAAACTAATTGTCATAAGTTTTTTCAGGCATCTGTTGTGGTTATTTTTCTCTGTCCTTTTTACGGCTTTTAATCCTAAATTAAAAAACAACAGCAAATAAATCATTATAGATTCATATATAAACTGCTGCCTCCTGCAGCAATACAAAAGAGTGTAAAACTGTACATTATGATTTCTGTTTAAATACTGAAACTAAAGAACACAATTTTATTACAGCTATCCATGTATATGTATTTTGTTATACATAAAACAAATATATTCTCGGTCTCAGGTCAGATTGACACATAAGGTTCACTCTTATCTCTTGAGAACAAAGATAACATTGATCATTTTATTGTTTCTCTGATTTAATTGTATCTGTTTTTGCATCATTTAAGGGATTATTTCTATTTTAAATAGCTATTTTATTTGTTGTTGTTCTTGCATTGCAGGTTATTCCTGCACCTTGTTTTCAATTGAAACCAAAAATATAAACTGTAAATAAATGGGATGCTAGTTTATTTTACTTTTAGAAACTCTAGATGATTCACTTCAATTAGGGGCTGTAAACAGCCCTGCCAGAGCTGCAGTGAGTTTATAGTCGGTCCATGAATTATCTGATCAATGCACTATTATTGCAGCAACAGGTATTATTGGTAGGAATAGTTTACCCATTTATTGGAAACACTTACAAATAACAATATTATTGATGCTACTTACATTATTCATACATTGTTTATTAACTGTTTACTAATTTAATACATATTTACTCCAAACTCCAAAAGTTTAATACATGCCTGCTAAATGCAGTATGTGTTTAAGACAGACATACTGATTTGTCTGAATGTTATTTTTACTTCATTCTGATCTCGATAGGCGGTTAATTGGTTTTAAAGCAAGAAAGATGGGTGGCGCACTTTTTTGTGTGAATAAAATTATTTGAAAATGGCCAAATTGCAGAAAAAAATCCCTTTTGCAAAATTAGAAATGATATAGTCCTCTCTAAGCCATCTGACCAACAGTGTGCAGCAGCTCTCTGCCACAACAACCCAAAGAAAACTCCTCTTGCTTTTGCATCATAATAGAGTCTCATTGAACAATATGGCAGCCAGCTGTAGCTGATCTGTTAACAGCTGCCAACCAGCTGTTTCTGCAGGTAAAATCGGGGACATTTCCGGGGACAGCTTTAGCTGGGGGTCCAAAACGGGGACCGTCCCTGTGGACATCTGGTCACCGTACTAAATGTAACACCACATTAACATTCATCTTTATATTTTATTTCATTGCAAACTAACCAAAGTCTTAAAGTTCTCCAAAGGCAGCAAAACAAGGGCAGATTTACCTGTCATTGAAATCTCCAGATGCTTCAGTTCACTGATTAAATTCCTTCCTTTGCTACCATCTATGATGTTTCTCCGTTTAACCTCCTGCTTCCTTCTGCAGGGTTCCTGAGGGACAAACTGGGAAGCTACGATGTGGCCTTCTACCTGGCAGGCATCCCCCCCATCATCGGGGGGCTGGTGCTGTGCCTTATACCCTGGGTGGAGGCCAGGAACAAGAGGAAGCAAAAGGAGGAGGGCCTGAGCAAAGAGCAGGGCGTCAGCCAGAAGATGATAGAGGATGAGAAGCATCAGGAAGAAGCTAAGAACAAAATAGGAGATTCTGTTCTCTAAGGAACTCTATATGCCCCCCCAAAAACCCCCAAACAAACTGAAGAGACAATCATTTGGTCAGCCTGGGGGATCAGTGCTGACCAGCAGTGTTAAAATGCTTTTCCTTTGTGTTTTTAGACAAAAATTTTAATGACCTCCTTGGATGATTAAATTCCAAAGCCATACATATCGAAGTTAAAGTGTTTGAATGAAAGCTGAGAGAAATGTGATCCTGATCCTTAGACCTCACTATAAAGCTGCTCACTCAGTCCTCAGTATCTTTACCAACTTCCACAAGTTTCGCCTGGCAGCTTAATCTGCAAAAAAGGCTCTGCTTGACACTACCATGTAGCTGAAACATGTGGCATAATCCAAGCATTTTCAGGATTAAACAAGGGGAAAGAGTTTAGCTCGCTTTCTGCTTTGCTTTACAGGTGCTGGTCATAAAATTAGAATATCATGAAAAAGTAGATTGATTTCAGTAATTCCATTTAAAAAGTGAAACTTGTATATTATATTCATACATTACATACAAACTCATATATTTCAGATGTTTATTTTGTTTAATTTTGATGATTACAAATGACAACAAATGAAAATCTCAAATTCATCATATCAGAAAATTAGAATATTGTGAAAAGGTTCAAAATTGATGGCCCCTGGTGCCACACTCTAATCAGCTAATTAACTCAAACCACCTGCAAAAGCCTTTAAATGGTCTTTCAGTCTAGTTCTATAGGCTACACAATCATGGGGAAGACTGCTGACTTGACAGTTGTCCAAAAGACGACCATCGACACCTTGCACAAGGAGGGCAAGACACAAAAGGTCATCGCTAAAGAGGCTGGCTGTTCACAGAGCTCAGTGTCCAAGCACATTAATAGAGAGGCGAAGGGAAGGAAAAGATGTGGTCGAAAAAAGTGTACAAGCAAGAGAGATAACCGCACCCTGGAGAGGATTGTGAAACAAAACCCATTCAAAAATGTGGGGGAGATTCACAAAGAGTGGACTGCAGCTGGAGTGAGTGCTTCAAGAACCACCACACACAGACGTATGAAAGACATGGGTTTCTGCTGTCGCATTCCTTGTGTCAAGCCACTCTTGAACCACAGACAGCGTCAGAAGCGTCTTGCCTGGGCTAAAGAGAAACAGGACTGGACTGCTGGTGAGTGGTCCAAAGTCATGTTCTCTGATGAAAGTAAATTTTGCATTTCCTTTGGAAATCAAGGTCCCAGAGTCTGGAGGAAAAGAAGAGAGGCACTTCACCCACGTTGCTTGAAGTCCAGTGTAAAGTTTCCACAGTCAGTGATGGTTTGGGGTGCCATGTCATCTGCTGGTGTTGGTCCATTGTGTTTTCTGAGGTCCAGGGTCAACACAGCCACATACCAGGAAGTTTTAGAGCACTTCATGCTTCCTGCAGCTGACCAACTTTTTGGAGATGCAGATTTCATTTTCCAACAGGACTTGGCACCTGCACACAGTGCCAAAGCTACCAGTACCTGGTTGAAGGACCATGGTATCCCTGTTCTTAATTGGCCAGCAAACTCTCCTGACCTTAACCCCATAGAAAATCTATGGGGTATTGTGAAGAAGAAGATGCAATACACCAGACCCAACAATTCAGAAGAGCTAAAAGCCACTATTAGAGCAACCTGGGCTATCATAACATCTGAGCAGTGCCACAGACTGATCGACTCCATGCCACGCCGCATTGCTGCAGTAATACAGGCCAAAGGAGGCCCAACTAAATACTGAGTGCTGTACATGCTCATACTTTTCATGTTCATACTTTTCAGTTGGCCAACATTTCTATAAATCCTTTGTTTTTATTGGTCTTCAGTAATATTCTAATTTTCTGATATGATGAATTTGAGATTTTCATTTGTTGTCATTTGTAATCATCAAAATTAAACAAAATAAACATCTGAAATATATGAGTTTGTATGTAATGTATGAATATAATATACAAGTTTCACTTTTTAAATGGAATTACTGAAATCAATCTACTTTTTCATGATATTCTAATTTTATGACCAGCACCTGTATGTCAGGATGAAGGAATGGGCTCCTGAGCCTCTTACTTAGCGGGCTCCTCTATGTTTCGCTCGGGGGCCGCTCATATCTGAAAGGGACATTCGTTAACTAGAGAAATCTCTGAGATTTATCTTAATTTGTGACATTTTCAAGGTAGATTTCCCCCCACAGGCTATGATGGCAGTTAACTGGAGGTTTGTGTCTCTAACTGATCCGTCCCATCAGCTCATGCTGCATCCAAATATACATCCTGGTCGTCCTCCATTTTATTTTGTAAAAAAGACCCAAATTACATTTTTTCCTCCCCAAACATAGGAACCGTACTAAAACATAATGTTTTAAAGGTTAATAATGAATTTCCTAAGATAATAAATGCCTTAAAATCCTTTCTGTTTTATCACTCTGTGCCCGATCTGCACAGGAAATGGGCTCCTACGCTACTTTGAGGAGCTAACTTTTTCAGCTTTGGATTTAAACATAAATCTAGTCTATTTGAGTTTTATTTTTTCCTTTCATGTCAACATTATGCTATATAGTGCATATTCTAAAGAAAGAAACAACTAAATTGCAGATAAACGTGGTTTAATCATATTTAGCCGGACTGCTCTGAGCATGTCCCATGATGACGTCAGAGAAGCAGTTTAACGAAAAATAATCAAAATTGTCTTAAGATGTCGTCAAAGATGTGTATTAGTATTCTTTAGTGAGTTAAGGATAAGAATAAGTCATTTTAGTAGCATAATGACATTATTTATGGACGCCAGGATGTATATCTGTTTGCACGTATGCAGGACTGATCGGGTAGTGACACTTTGTAAGCACACCACAAGCTAAAATGGTAAACAACAGATAATAGCTAACCGTCTGCTTTAGATCACTTTTACATAGTTTTAAAAATGAAGCAATCCAAATGAAGCTGCTTCCTTATATCTTCCAAACCCCAACAACCGTAGCTTAACTAGAAGTAAACCTCAGGAGTTTTTATGTGAACAATTAGGATTTTTTTTGTTTTGGTTAAATGTTGAACTATTCCTTTAACATTACCAACGATTGTTTCTATATCATCGATTGAATATTTAGAGTTGCCTCCATCCCTCTACATGCCTTTACAGGTGTTTGGAATGTGTTCATTTTTGTTTTTGCTGTGATTTTATACAATGACCAAAAGGAACAAATGCTCTGCAAATACATTGATGTGCAGCAAATATAAAAAGTACTACAAACACATGCATAGGAAACAAGCCGTAATCAAGCGAGGCGTCGTCCACAGCTTCCAGTGTGATGTCATTGGGAGTGACAGTGGACAGTAAAGGGGTAGTGCATGGCACTTCCAGCGTTGTTTTTTCCTTTCTATGTGTTTAGTTTGATTGTGTTTCATATTTTTACAGTGAGATTTATGTTTGCGGGGCGTTTATATGTTTGCACTTCGCTTCTCTCCAGTTTCTTTTTTGCCGTTTTTTTCTCCTTTGCATCTGTTTTGCTCCTTAGTCAGTTTGTCTTTGCAGCACCTCTGGGCCACCGTAGATTTAGTGCAAAGTTTTTAAACACAATCAGTGGCTCTTGAAAGTATTCACGCCTTTTAAGCTTTTCCACGTTTTCACATAACAACCACTGCCTTTGGTTTATTTACTTTAAATTTGACCCCAGAAACCAACCCTAAAGCATCCCCACAGCATTATGCTGCCACTGCTGGGTTTCAGAGTGGGGGGCGGTGCATTCAGGGGGAGTCCTTCCAATATATGTTGCTTTCAGCCTGTTCTTATCTGACCACTTCTGCTGTGTCCCCCTTGTGGTGACGTGCAAATAAGGCTTAATGAGAACAGTATGTTTCAGATTTTAAATCTGTAGTGTTTTGAAAGTCACAAAACCTCCCAACACTATAATGCTGAAAACCAGATAAGGTCCAGGTGATAAAGCTGCTATCAAAACAACCAAAGGTTACCTGTTTGGATGGAAGATCAAGTCATTTCACATCCCATAAAAGCTGAGCTGAATATAGAGCTGGTGAAAACATGCTATCATTCATTCACCTGCTGTATCTTATCATCTGAGAGTTTCCCCTGTTTGAATGGACCTGTGCTTTAACCATTAACTACACGACCATCAGGCGATAGGAGCCCAGTTAATCAGTTACTTTTTCCTCGGTCCAATAACTTATATAGACCTCTTCCAAATATAACAATATTTGATTTTCATAGCAGACTGGATGATTTGCCATTCTTTGGAAACCGACAAAAACAAAAATGAGCATCATTTCGTTCTCAGACAATACTTACCTGACCCAAATGCCCTCAAGTTATAACTGTCTGACGAAAAACCGTCATATTTTTAGGGTGAAGCGTATAAAACTGTGCTATAACTTCTAAAAAAAATGACTTATTAAGTTGGCAATAATACCATTAAAAAGCGAATAAAATTCTCTACTAGTCCATGAAAAATATATACAATTTGTTTTATTTGTACATTACATATTTTATAAAAATACCCATAAAACAGGAAATTCCATTTTTCTTGATTAAAAATTGAAAATACCAATGTCTTTGTACAAAGTATAGACAAAGAAAATAATCAATCAGAGTTGACTTCTACATTATGAATTTCAAGAAATTGAATTTTTTGTTTTACTGGGTTTAAAAAAAAAATATGTTATGTACAAATATATGCAAATAAAACAAATTGTACATATTTTTAAATCGACTAGTAGAGAATTTTATTAGGTTTTAAACGGTATTATTTGCAACTTTGTAAGTCTTTTTATTTATTTAGTAGTTATGGCAAAATTCTATACCCCACCCTCTAAAAATTTGATAGTTTTCATTATTTAGATCAGGGGTCTTCAATGTTTTCCAGGCCAAGGACCCCCTAGTTGTATATATAGTATGAAACAGTGTTTTATCAAACTGGTCCTATAGTCACTCTATTACAGATGGAGTAATGTAACTAAAGTAATTTTTCCCTGGAATTATTAAACTTTCTGAATGTGTGCATTGATGACTGAAAGACAT